CCAGAGGTGGTCTTAGCGCTGATCGCTGACAACATCAAAACCAAATTGGATTATACAAAACTGTATTTAAAAGTGGGCACGTATCTATTTAATTTGTAAAAGGAGGGCATTAATTTAGCTGACGTTCGAATCCAAGAGCTTTATAAGAAATCGCCCAAAGCCACTGATGAAACAACATATTGGCAAATTTGTTTAAAATCCAGCTCCTGGATAGTATTTTTTTGCATTCCAGAACCATGAGGTGGGAGTCTTTGACAGGTATGTTTGTACATGACAAGCAGCTGCTGTACCGCCCGGTATATGAAAGTTACGTGAACATAACATTTTGCACAGTAAGTCGCTGCAAATATTTTCACAGAAGTTTTTGCTCTTATTTTTGGGGCTCAAGTCTTATTAGCCTTCGCTCGAGTCGAGGCGAGTGTTTTAATGAGTGACTCGAGGCATTTCAAGTCATTTGCTTGCAGTGACTTAAGTCAAGTCAAGTCATTTACCCTTATAGACTCAAGTCGAGTCAAGTCATCAAAAATTGCGACTTGAGTCGAGTCATTACAACTCGGCATCTCCATGGTTCTAAAGAAAAATTGGTGGACCATGGGCGTCGCCAGGATTTTTTCTGGAGGGGGCAAAGCACATTCCCCCCCCCCCCCATCCCTATAATTGCCATTATTTTCCCGATTGTTAATTTTTTCGAGGGTGGGCAGGGACATTTGCCCCCCCCCCCCCATCGCGACGCCCATGTGAGGGACTTCATGTACTTCCATCAACCTGAAGGACACCTATCATAATGTGCCTATCCATGCATATCACCAGAAGTTTCTCCGGTGTCACGGTCTCACTTCTCCGGCGTGTTAGCTTCTCCAGATGGATTCGGCGGACAGTTGAGCACGTTACAGTGCACGTTACATGAGCACGATACATGCTGATGTGTCCGTTGTGCTTACTTTTCCTCGGGCTGTATTACCAAGCCTATAACGCAGTGCAGTGAGGGACATCCAAGAATGTGTTATGTAACACTTCCCCCATCATTCTGATTTGTGTTCCCAGCGTACGTCATGCATGTGCATGTGTGTTCATGGAGGAATAATTAAGAACGAACTCCTTGGTCCGTGTTCCTTGCTCGTTCGTGGCCCATTTTGTCTTTATTTTTGCAACCATGTGGCTTAAAAGAAATGTGCATTTCAAGTCTTTTTTGGTTATTGGGAGTTGTGCGCGCCACGAAAATTCTGAATTCGACTGCATGTTACCTGTAACCATGCATACAATATCCTATGATATTACGTGCACCAGTACAACCCCGAAGAACTTGGCACACAAATAAAGTTGACAAAAATGTACACTACTGCGCAATTTTGTGCATGTGTGTTGAAGTGAAATTTCCCTTTCGGAGAAGCTAGCCCGCCGGAGAAGTGAGACCGTGACACCGGTTCATATACATTGTACCAGGGACAGTGTACTAGTTCGCTGTCTCTTCCCACACCCCCTTGGATCTTTACACAGCTTCATTTGAGCAAGCAAGTAGCTCTTCCCTCAGTGAACTTACAATAAAACCTGTATTGTTATTGACTGCACTGCTACAGCTTGCCATAGAAGTGAGCTCTGTAGTCTGTCAGTAGAACCAGGACATATCCGTTTGGAACCTGTTGGTTCTAGTTGAATTCCAGAGAAACCATTTTGCACAAAGAATCAGTCAGCTGAGTTTTCACCCCCTGACATATTTGTACCTGGTTTGACATCCTTCTCTTCAAAGCAGATGATAAGCGGTGGTACCCCGTGCCAGCCCTGAAATACTGTATTGCTCCCACTCAAGCCTTTGTGAGGCGACATCAATGACCTGTTCATTACAATTATCCAGTCTCGTCATCAAGCCTCATGACCACGATCGCTCGATGGATTTCGGAGGCTCTAGAAAGTCTTTCCAACAACCATGGATCAGAATCATAAAACTTGCAGTGTGTCAACTTCTTGGGCCTATCTGCTTGGACTTGCTCTTTCAGAGATCATGAAAACAGCCTGCTAGAAAAATCCATCCACCTTTACGTCATACTACTTGAAGGATGTCTTTCATTCGGAGGGATACATGGGCAGGAAAGTCCTCAAGGAAACACAGCATGCAAAGCTCCTCTAGAATAAAAAGGCAGCTCCTGAGTACGTGTAGAAAAAACCTACGTGTGACATTGAGAATTTCATGAAGGCCTACATGTAGCTTAGACTGTGTCTTCCCACCCTAGAGTCTTTCGGTGCTACTCTGCAAATGTAGGCTAACAGATACGAGGTGTTTTCTGTAATGGAATTCCTAAAATCCAAAGGGATTTTCCATTCTAGAAAACACTCGCCTCTGTTTACATCCCTCGCAATTAGGGAACTACATGTAGTTCAATCAAAACAAATAACCAGGATGAACGGTTGTGCTACAGAGTCCTTTATGGGACATGCAGTGGGCATGGAGGGTGTGTCTCGGGCACTATTTTTTTCAGTGAGGTTTGTGCGCTTGCCTGTTAATATTCAAATGTAGGTAAACAGAGTTGAGTGTTTGTTTAGTAGAATGGAAAATCCCTTCAGACTTTAGGAAACATCTTCAGAATATCTTGTTGTAAAGCCCCTGTCACATAGTAGCGAATAGAGCTAACTTATGCCTAGCTTACTGAATTTTTTTCTTGAAATTTGGCAAATTACAGATACGCTCAGATTCTCGGCCAAAATCTGCTTGTTTAGCGAACTCCTGATGTATAGGATGAATGCCCAATGAATAAGGAACGAATGCTGGACTTATCACTAGCGTCCACAGTAACGAATGACAGCACATGTATGCGTAGTGTCCATCCAATGAATGCTGAACGTACGCAACGATTGGCCAACGTATGCCTAGCGTGCTGCAGCCGGTCATGTGACGCATCGCTGCTGATCCATCAATACGCTCTCCAAGTCCCCGTCGTCACACTCGTTAGCCATTTGTTAGACAAACTCTTGTATACGTTGGGCATTCACTACATTACAAAGATCCTTGGGTTAGACTTGTATGTCCGAACAACTGACGAAGAAGCAACCTACACCCAATGTGCGAAACGTTCACACATCGAATGCTCAACGTATACATAGCATATTGATCACAATGTTGTCACCCGCTCAACATTTTGAACATGTTCAAAGTATTTCTTAGACCCCAGTGCACCTCTGCAAACCGCTAACGAATACAACTTATGCCAAACATGTCACGAACGAACGACAACTTACACAAACGTACACCCAAATTTTTCAAAAACGTCGGGCAGACGTTAGCTCTACTCGCAACAGTGTGACAGGGCCTTAAGACTGGCAGTGCTCAGTATGGATTAAATTGGCCACATTTTCTGTAGAGTTCCCAAAGGTGCCTTCTGTTGATCATGAGGCAGTCTACCCTGCTTTGGGTTCAAAGCTATTCAAAAGTTTTGAAGTACATGTAGATGTACTTACACATAGGCCACATGGAAAGTGAATAATTTTGGTATTCATGTAATAGCAGTTTCAAAACAAAATAATTCTTTTCAAGGTATAACTCAACCAAAGATAACCATTCAGTACTATAGAAAACAAGTAGAACCAAAGTATTATTACCAAACATTTGCAGCATCACATGGACATAAATTTTGGCTATAGAGATATGAAGACATTTTGTTTTGAACAGAAATTTTGTTACTTTTTCTTATAGATACATGAGCATGAGGCTGATCAGGTTGTCAACGAGGAATTTGAAAAACTAGAGAAGAAACTTGGAGAAGGAGCTAACTTGAACTTGAACATCCAGGATTCACGGTGAGCAGAAATGGACTTCACTGTTTTGAGCAGAGTTGTAATCAGATCAGTCACAAATTAAATCACAAGTCAAGTTACCTGCAGCCGATTTGACGAAACCTTATGCAACTCCGCTTGCACCATAATTTATTGAGTAACTTGCGCAACATTTCACTTATGACACATTCATGTAAGTCAGATAGTGCATAGGGCCGTAACTTGCGCAATCATTTTAGGTGGCGTAGCGAGTGAAAATTACATATTTTAGCAGCAAATTGGGGCTGTCTTAGAGCTTGTTACTGCACAACTCATCAAGGTTGATACAAGACACTCACAAAGTTATGTTTGAAATAATTTTTACAGTTGCCAAACGATTCCGAAGAAAGTTGGACAAAAAAAATAATCAAAATGGTGGGCTGAGGTGATGCAACTACTGTTTTGCAAACGAACAAATTCATACTCAAACCTCCGTCATAAATGCTGTTTTTATCTTCGTCCAAGATGTTTAAATTGTTGAAAACATTGCGCAGCTACGCCAAGTTTCGTGAAATCGATCTTAAGTTTATTGCGCAGCTGCGAAACAAAATTGTATAAGTCTTACGCATTGCACAAGCTGTGCACTTTTTCATGAAATCGGCCACTGGACAATGTCTCTGTCACAGTTTGTTGAAATTGGATGACTCTTGGTTGACTTGTGACTGACTCTGTCAACAGTTCTGCTTAAGGGTCGACTAGGTAGTCTTGTACTTGTAGTTTAATATGTTATTTGAGATTAATTTTGGGGGTCATATAAGAGGCCATTTGATGCAAACTTGCAATTCAAACATTCACTTATGAAACAGTACGCTGTAAAAGTATGACGTCACGCAGGTTCCTCTCCCGTAGTGATGTGTCCAAACAATGTCTCAACTGCCATGTGCAAAGGTGATCAAGTTGAACATTTTTTATTTGAGAATTTTCCGACGTTAGGAATACATGAGACTAGGAAACAGGACAGTGCTTCATGCCCATAGAGCTGTATTAAATTACTACAGTGCCAACTCTTCATTCTTGCGCGCAGAGACGCTTTGAAGCCGCTCTGGGCGCAGACATTTTGAATTTACGTGCGTGTTTGTTGAACACAATCAAAATAGATAGATTGAATTTTAAAAGTGTACTCTAAATGCAACGCGCAAGTGGAAGATACACAAACAACTTGAGGGCGTCATGATGGTTCAAAAAACGTCACGGCAAAAAGCATCTGCAGCAGAGGGGTGCACACGTTGCGCTGTTTGCGTAGAGAAAAATGAAACGCTCATTTGCTGATTGTGCGAAAAATTGTGAAACATTGGGTATCGCGCACAGCACTACGTTAGGCCATGTGCGTTTGGACCATAGAGCTATATTAAATTACTAGAGTGCTAACTCTTCATTCTTGTGCGCAGAGACGCTTTGAGGCCGCTCTGCACGCAGACATTTTGAATTTATGTGCGTGTTTAAAAACACAATCAAAATAAATGGATTGAATTTTAAAAGTGTACTCTAAATGCAACGCGCAAGTAGAAGATACCAAACAACTTAAGCGCGTCATGACGGCTCAAGAAACGTCATGGTGAAAAGCATCTGCAGCGGAGGGACGCGCACACGTTGCGTTGTTTGCATAGAGCAAAATGAAATGCTTATTTGCTGATGGTGCGTTATGATTTGGGGCGTATCGGCCTCGATGACGCACCGGTATGGAATACAACCGCAGATATGCAAATAGCCGTACAAAAGCCGTACAAAATGTTGAGTTTTCCATAGGTTTGTGCACAAACATGAATGCGCCCATCAGGCATTACTTTGTACATCGAGTTAGCGCTCTAGTAATTTATTATAGCTCTATGGTTTGGACATGGGAAATACATGATTTCGGCGGTGCAGGACATCTACTTCTATGGCGTTGTCACAACTGCCCCCAGAAATTAGTGCAGTGGAATTTTCGGGACTGGTTTTCCCACCCACAACTTCGTGCAAACACCAATAATAATCCTCTGAGACGTTCTGTATATTTACAAATTATTTAATATGCACAAACTGTATATTTATAGGCTACGAATAATCTTTACAAATATTATGTATACAAATCCTTACGAAAATTATTTATAGAATGAGGCGATAGTAACCCAATAAATAGTGTAGATCAATACCAGAGATGAGTATAAAACTAACCTTCGGTAAAGCAAATGGATCAATGGATTAAATGCAGAAAAGTCAAAGCTTGAAGTATAGAACTTATAATCAACAAAATCTATTTAAATTAACCAAATTAACTCAAATTAAGCGAGCTTGCCATGGTCTGATGGCAGATCAAAGTCCAGTATGACTCTTGGAGTTCATCGCCGGTTTCAAGACCTGGTCTAGGCGATGTTGTGCAAGTTTGCAGTCAGCAAAATGCTATTTTCCTCCACATTGATCGCGATCGGCGTTTTTGTTTTGTTTTTGTGTATCTCTTTCCTTTTATAAAACGCGCGGGCTGCGAGTCACATGACAGGCAGGTTTTTTTTTTAAAGAACACCAAGAACGCCATAAGATACAAAGGATAAGACCATGGCAACATGAATATTTATAAGACACATGCATTATTTATTAGTTATATACTTACAGTCTACTTATGGTACCACGAATACGAACAATACACACGGACTACTGATACAAACACACATGCACAGATGTATACGTAATCTAAGTGTTCGTGTTGCTGGGACAACGCTGACAGGCGTACAGACATGATAGCGTTTGTTTAAAGCCAAAGAGCTGAGAAAATAATCAAAGGACATTTAATATATTGTGTTCCATGAATCTATTTTATCAATTGTAAACTTTGTAATGGCATAGTGCTGGATTATTCTAAGATCAGAGTGCATTCCAAGCCTCAAGTGTATATTTAATCACAAGTTTGAAGTTATTTATCGGAGCAGATTGGTACTGTTTTGCAATAGGTGTTTATTTCATTGCTTTCATTTCTACTCGCATGTTCCATAAGTTAGGACACACGTTATGCACATGTACATGTACGTTTCTTTATGGTGTAAATCAAGCATTTACTGTTGTTCATCATCGATCTTTGGTTTAAACGTGGTAACCGTTTTGTAGCAGCTCCCATTAGTTTTGTTTTCTAATCGAGGTCGTCCTCGATTTGACTCCTGTCCTCAATTACTTGATGATGCTTCACACGAACGTCCTCGATTTACACCATTAACAAACGTATGTTCACATGTTTGTGTTATACAGGGTTTACAAGTAATATTTAATAAAACATTTCACATTTGGATGCTGTACATGTACTGAAATACTGTTTTAGTTCAAGTAGACACCAAAATGTATGTAAATAGATCTTATGCATTATCTTTAGAGGCAATATTTTACATTAGTAACATTGCAGGTGCAAAAGGTTTACCATACACTTCCTAGCGATAACAAAATGTGTGCATGCTGTACTAAAGATATTTTTAACTTACATTGAAGAAACCAAAATTTAATGTAAATCTATGTAAATAGATCTTATGCTTTGTATTTTGGCGACAACACATGCACAAAATATATACCCATATTGTTCCTAGCGTTACACAACCATTGTTCACTAACTCCACCTTAACACATAATGTATATGAGTGTTCTACTGTATATTATTATTTGTCATCAAAATGCAATATTTAAGACCTTTATGAGTATAATTAGTGCACCACCTACTACATGTACATACCTTTAATAACGCATAAGTATTCTACTGTATGTATTATTTGTCATCAATTGTTAATGCAATACTTAAGATCTCTATAAGTATAATTAATGCACCACCTACTACATGTACATACCTTTAATAACGCATAAGTATTCTACTGTATGTACCGGTATTATTTGTCATCAATTGTTAATGCAATACTTAAGATCTGTATAAGTCTAATTAATGCACCACCTACAACATGTACATACCAATTATGTAAGTACTTTCCAAAGCTGAGTTAACTAAAATGTTGTATACATGTATGAAGTAGTTTACAAATGTTCATACAGTGGTAAGAATAATTTCCTGAGGTGACAGATGGAATGTACCATTCCACAATGCCAAGCGAGTGGAACATTTCATATGTCACCGAATGACCTTATTCTTTCCATTACATAACATGTGAAGTATTCATTATTTTTGTGTATAACTTCCGAGTGAATCCCTGTCATCTGAGTGACTGTGCAAATAGGTGACTGCGCAATGCAAGTTCCTCCTACAATGCAATGGAACTTCCTACTACAATGTAATAGAACTTGTATTTTTCTGCAGAGCGGCCGCGAGTTGGGATGAATACTTTAATGACATGCGATCAATAACCCATCAATCAGATGACAGGGATTTATTCAGATGTACAGGGTGTACAAAAACAGGTAATCCAAAAACAATTGACTCATGTGTAAAAGTTAGGAAACTTTACAAACTCAAAGGGGGCTCCATCTTAAAGGGTAATTTATTAAGCTTTCAATTGATGTCTTAATTGCACCTCTTCATCCACAGATGACTGAGCACCGAGTTGTTTGGCCTTTGTTTTGAACTCAATGCTGCTCACTCATCAATGGCGGAAAAGATGCAAATAAGATATCAATGGAGAGCTAAATGTAATGACCTACCCTTTAAGATGAAGTCAATTTTGACAATGTTCAAGTTTGTAACTTTTCCACATTAATTAAGCAATTATTTTTGGATAAATTTTTTAATACACCCTGTAGATTAACCTGCAGTTTTTAGATTTTTTAGATTATGAGATTGTCATTTAATAGATGTGTAAGAGGTAAATATGTGGTTATAGATAACGATTGAATATATGCATAAATAAAATAGAGAGAATATATTTGTAAGAGTGATTATTAATGTGTGATACAGAATAACATGATATATGATAAAGAATAATATATCTAATATTTATATTTATTTTTATATTATTTATATATAATATTTATATATATTTATATATATTTTTTGTTATCCTTTTTTTTTATATTATTTATATTTATAATATTTATATATAATGACTAAAAACCCCACATTTTTATCGGGTTCGCATTATTAATCGAGTTATAGTAGTCGAAACCCCCAAAATTTCGGACCCAAAATTTCGGACCCAAAATTTCGGACCCAAAATTTCGGACCCAAAATTTCGGACCCAAAATTTCGGACCCAAAATTTCGGACCCAAAATTTCGGACCCAAAATTTCGGACCCAAAATTTCGGACCCAAAATTTCGGACCCAAAATTTCGGACCCAAAATTTCGGACCCAAAATTTCGGACCCAAAATTTCGGACCCAAAATTTCGGACCCAAAATTTCGGACCCAAAATTTCGGACCCAAAATTTCGGACCCAAAATTTCGGACCCAAAATTTCGGACCCAAAATTTCGGACCCAAAATTTCGGACCCAAAATTTCGGACCCAAAATTTCGGACCCAAAATTTCGGACCCAAAATTTCGGACCCAAAATTTCGGACCCAAAATTTCGGACCCAAAATTTCGGACCCAAAATTTCGGACCCAAAATTTCGGACCCAAAATTTCGGACCCAAAATTTCGGACCCAAAATTTCGGACCCAAAATTTCGGACCCAAAATTTCGGACCCAAGCTTGGCCGTTGGAGGGGAGGGGCTTGGACCAGGCAGGTTTCTGGGGGGGGGGGGGGGGGGGGGCTGGGCCAGGTAGCTTGCTGGAGAGAGCTGGACGGGGGTGTGGCACAACTAGGGGGGGGATGACGCAGGGCTGGACTTGATCCGGGGACCCACCGCTTCCCAGTCACAACACCTAACCGCTACACAATCCGGGTCCCCCCGGTAGAAATATGTTTCTATTAAACTTAACTCATAGTTTTCTATTTCTAAAATTAAACTAAAATGACCACCCTGGGATTTGAACCCACAACCTCTCAATTTGGAGACAAGTGTTCTCACTACTTGCCAAACACAACCTTAAAAGAATTCCTCAAAACTAATATATAAACCTTAGATTGATTTTAGTTTTTAAAAAAAAAATATATTGGGAATATTTCTATTCCCAGTTTTGGATCAATCTTTTGGAAATCAATTTGGTTGAAATTTCAAAATGTCATGGGTTTACCTTTCATTTTATAAAATGTAACAAAAACATTATTAACGTTGTTTTATTATCACAACCGGAACAATTTTTATGCTTTTATGCTGTTTTATCCAAACAGGGTTTAAATTTTGTTTTCCTCACAAAAGTTTTCAGTGGTTAGCCTTGCATTTTTATCAAAAAGAGTTAAAAACACCCCAATTTTTATCCTAATTTTAACACGGTAAGGGAAAGTCTTGCATTTTTATTTAAACGGGGCAAAATTTCATTTTTTTATCACGAATTCAAAACGGCAAGATTTGCCTTGCATTTATATCAACATGGCGTAAAAGTTAACTTTTTATCACAAATTTATAACAAAATGTTTGGCCAAAATTCAAACCGTTTATGGGTTATTCTTGAATTTTTATTAAGAAAGGGTTAAAAAAGTAACTATTTTTATCCTAATTTCAACACGGTAAGAGGAAAGCCTTGCATTTTTATTTAAACAGGCCAACCATATAATGGTTAATACCATGTTTACCCAAAATTCAAACAGTTGAGGGGTTATCCATGCATTTTTGTCAAAATTTCTATGAAAATTGGCTTTTCTTAGATTTTACTCAAATAAAACACATACAAAAAGTTAGGATGGGATAACCAAATCAGAAACAGGCCAGCATTTTTATCGTAATAGGGTGAACATTAATTTTTAAACTTATTACAAACTCAAAAAGGCGAAGGGATAGCCTTGCATTTTCATTAAATACGGGACTGAAACAATTTTGTATCAAATATTCAAAGTTTTATGCAGTTTTATCCAAATGGGGTAAAAGTTAAGTTTTTATCTTAAAAATTACATTTTTATCAAACTTTTTTCCAAAATTCAGTACGGTAAGGGGTTTAACCTTGCATTTTGATCATTATGTCACAAATGTTAAGTTTTTATCACACATTTAAAATGGTAACGGGATTTTTATTCAATTTTCATAACACTAACAGGTTTATAGCCTAGCATTTTTATCAAAAAGGGTTTAGCCTTGCATTTTTATCAACATGGTGCAAAAGTTCAGTTTTTATCACACATTTAAAATGGCAAGGGCATTTTGATTCACATTTCAAAACAGACACAGTTTATAGCCTGGCATTTTTATCAAAAAGCGTTTAAAAAAACCAAATTTTTATCCTAATTTTAACAAGGTAAGGGGTAGGCCTAAACCTTGTATTTTTATTTCAACGAGGCAACATTTCAGTTCTTATCACAAACTCAACATAGCAAGGGATAACACATTTTTATCAGATTGTAGAAAAATCTAAATTATTATCACAATTTCATAACGGTTACAGGTTAACAAATGTTTAGCCAAAATTCAAACAGTTAAGGGGTTAGCATTGCATTTTTATCAAAAAGGGAAACAATAACCAACAAATTTTCATCCAAAAATCAAATCGTTTCTATATCATTTTATCACAAAACGACCAAAAAACAACAAATTTTCAACATTCAAAAGGACAAAAACAATGTGTATTCTTTATTCAAAATGGTGTGAGAACTGTCAGCAAACATACTCAGCTAAAATCAAGTGTCCAATTCATCTCTACCAATTGACACTGCCAAAAACAGTGATTTACATTCAGTTACATTTCTCCTTGATATTAAAATGTCTGTTACAATTTTCTTCTCCGTGTTCAAAAGACATAACAGGTGAACCAAATATGCAATCAACTAAACACCATTAATAAACCAACGAAATCCAAATATAAACTAACGCACCAATGATATTCATTTTACTTGGCCAGAAAGGTCCACCAAGGCACAATCCAATTAAAATTGCCACCAAGGCAAATCTCACCAAAATATCCAATTTCGCCACCAAGGCTTAGCCATTGAATTATGCCAGTGACACAGGCAAAATATTACAATAAGGCAAAACACTTCAAAATATGCCACTAAAATAAAGTAAAGCCTCCACCAAATGTTCAATCTGCTATCTTACATCAAATGTCAATCTGCTATCGTGCATCAAATGTTCAATCTGCTATCTTGCATCGGCTCTTGTGTCCACTTCGGATGTGCAGAACATGCTTAACTGTAAACGCACACAGAGTAGCCACGCCCACAAGTAGAGAAGCCACGCCCACATCAGCCATTAGCCATACACACGTCGGCTTACAGAGCGTCTCCACCATCCATGTACTGAGACGAGACACATCCGGTAGTCAACCGCACAGCCACCTTGTAGTTAACCGCCACTTATTAAGGAGACTCTGAAAAATAAATAGATCCAACTTAAACAACAGTTGTGCATTTGTACAGTCACATGTAAGCATGATACATTGTAAGTATACACTTTTAAATAATAATGTCAGATACTAATCAACAATAATAATAATAACATCGGAGTCTTATATAGCGCACGTATCTACCAACATTTCCATTGGACCACAGCACCCCACATGTAATCAACCAACTCTGTTATCATTGAATTGAATAGGGCTCATTCAATGAAGGCCATCTCTGTAGGAGGACTACAACTGCGTATTTTACGTAAACAAGCACGCATTGCGCAGTGTTGAATTTGTTCCAAACACACGCGCTTGTTGCTTGAAATGTGTTCGAAATATGACGCAGACGATGCGCGTTATGTAAGTTGACGCTCAAAAAGCCGATGCACATGGATGGTCTGTAGGAAATGACATCATTTGAACGAGACCTATATTTCAAAATGCACTCTGAATGTACATTAAATAAGGAAAAACACAATTCTTTTCTTACACGTACATGGACAGATATGTGGCCTCCATCGTTGCCTGCAGTCCATCACCAGTCACAGAGTCAAACTGAGGAGTCTGAAGACCAATACTTGTGTAGCAAGCAGAACTAGATAACACACATTTTGGCAAAACCCAAAGCTCTGATGGAAATGAAGTGCGCTTGCTAGAACTGGACAGAGCTTGACCACTAGCGAATGTTGCAACAGCAATAGGCAGCCACACAACTGAATGGGTAGATGTGCAAGGCACACTGATGTACACGCCACTGCTTCACACCCCAATGCACACATGGAACTACAAAAGGCCCCACCCAATAATTGTCTACATTCCAATCTCATTGTGTGTACTACCCTCTGAAGTCTTTGCTGTATGGTCCAAATTCTACAGCCCTAGATGCTACTTCAAATGCAAATTTAAGGACTTCTTAGCCTTAATTGAATATTCAACGCTTGCAGAAATACAGCCAGAAAAAAAAAATCAAGTGCAACAAACTTTTGCTACAACAAGCAAAACTGGGAAAGTTTGTACATACTAAATGTATATACAACTTAATCTGGCTCAACTCTGACAAACAGTACAGGGTTAGCCTTGCATTTTTTCAAAAAGGAAAAAAAAAATGCATATTCAAAATTCAAACCGGGAATGGGTTACAAGCCTTGCATTGTTTTTGAAATGGAGCAAAACTTTTTATCACAAATTTTAAACGGTACAGAGTTTACCTTGCATTTTCATGTCTAATGGGGACGAATCAAATTTCTTTTTAATCCAAAATTCAAAACGGTACCAGGTTACCATTGTTGGTTTATCAAAATTCAAAGAAAACAAATTTTTACCCAATATTCAAAACAGTTAGGGGTTAACCTTTCATTTTCATCAAAATGGGACCAAAGTTAAGTTTTTATCACAAATTCCAAACGGTAAGGGATTAACCTTGCATTTTTATCAAGAGACGAAAACACATTTTTAACCAAAATTTCAAATGGTAAGGGGTTAGCCTTGCATTTTTATCACAAAGACAAGAAAACACATTTTTAACCAAAATTCCAAATGGTAAAGGGGTTAGCCATGCATATTTATCAAAAAGGGGAAATTATTTTTTTATTTTAAATTCAAAATGGTAAGGGGCTAGCCTTGTATTTTTTATCAAAATGGGGCAACAGTATAGTTCTTATCACAAATTCCAAACGGAAAGGGGGTTAGCCTTGCATTTTTATCAAAATGGGACAAAAGTATAGTTTTTATCGCAAATTTCAAACGGTAAAGGATTAGCCTTGCATTTTTATCAAGAGACGAAAACACATTTTTAACAAAAATTTCAAAAGGTAAGGGGTTAGCCTTGCATTTTTATCAAAATGGGACAAAAGTATAGTTTTTATCGCAAATTTCAAACGGTAAAGGATTAGCCTTGCATTTTTATCAAGAGACGAAAACACATTTTTAACAAAAATTTCAAAAGGTAAGGGGTTAGCCTTGCATTTTTATCAAAAAGGGAAGAAAACATATTTTTAACAAAATTTCCAAATGGTAAAGGGGTTAGCCTTGCATTTTTATTTAAAAGGAACGAAAACAACTGTTTAACCGAATTTTGAAATGGTAAGAGGTTATCCTTGCATTTTTATTAAAAAGGTACGAAAACAAATGTTTAACCAAAATTCGAAACGGTAAGGGGCTAGCCTTGCATTCTTATCAAACTGGGGCAAATGTTAAACTTTTTATCACAAATTTAAAACGATAAGTGGACAAAAACCACATTTCTATCCCAAATTCAAAATGGTAAGGGGTAAGCCTTTTTCATTTTTATCAAAATGTAAGGGAAGGTAAGTTTTTATTGCAATTTTATGACAGTAAGGAGTTAGCCTTGCATTTCAATTAAATTCAGAGGAAACACTTTTTTTATTCTAAATTCAAACAAGTAAGGAGAAAGCCCTAAATGGGACGAAAAACAATTTTTGTCCAAAATTCAAAACGGTAAAGAGTTCGCCATGCATTTTTATCAACATTGGGCAAAAGTTACATTTTTATCACAAATACAAAATGGTAATTTAGAATAGTTAGGGGTGAGCCTTGCATTTGTATTAAATAGGAGAAAATCACAATTAATTTTTTTTTTTTTTCATTTTTATCAAAAGTGGACAAAAAGTAAGTTTTTTCTGGAGTGCTGTGGCCTCAAGGGTAAGGGCACTGGATTCGTGGTCTGTGGGTAAAGCTGCGGGTTGTGGGTTCAAGTCCAGCCAGGTCATGGTGCGTGTGCCCTTGAGCAAGGCACTTCGTCACTCATTGCTTCTCTCCACCCAGGAGTAAATGGGTACCTGTGAGGGCAGAGATGGCTCTTGTGATTGAATAAGCTTGCTTGCGCCTAACAGGCAGCATCGAGCTGTATACTCCCCAGAGAGCTGAGATGGTAATTGGAATGTTTAATTGGCCTAATGATCAGGGGTAATAATAAAACTGTGAGCACTGTGATTTAGTTTACTAAAAAGAGCGTTCTTAAATGCCGCTTATTATTAAATATTCAATATAGTAAGGGGTTAGCCTTAAGTTTGATCAATGACTTTAACCACATGGTTAGTCCTACCTTCTTGCTGAATGGCTGGCTGGCTGGCTGGCGGGGAGGCGGGTAGGCCGGCTGGCTGGCGGGCCAGCGGGGAGGCTGGCTGGCTGGCTGGCTCCCCGACTGATTGGTAGAATGGCTGATTATCTTGCTGCTGATACAAAGAACAAAAGGCAACATTATGAAAAGAGAAGTTCGCTTGAAACAAACAGCTGTAAATAAATGCATACTGTTCAAAACAGGTAAGGTGATGGAGCTTTTGAAAACGAATGCCAAGAAATTCTTTGAAAGATCTATTTTATTCTACAACACAAATTTGATAAAATAGGAATAGATTTTCATCAACAATAATTATAGACCACCACATAATTTTTCCTGGAGAATTCAAATATATTATCATCATCCTACAAATGAATACAATGTAAACACATTATTTTATTTTATTTTATCGCACAGGGTAATCTATTTTAATAGGTAAGAGTAATCATTTTCTGTTCTGCGCAATTGTATAATGTCTCATCATGTATATCATGTATTGTTTGTACAAAACAAACATCAAAATATGGGTATTAAATAGTGCCAAGTGCCTCCCTTCCTAGCGAGGCCCATGAGGATCAGCCATTATGTCATTGCACACCTCCTCGATCGTATTCGATCATTTTGTCGGTTGCACCGCGAACCGACGTATCGCGCTTTTTTGTGTGTTTCGAGAAAACCAATTTAAAGTTGGTCATTATTTTGTAGGCTCATTCCATACACTCCCTGTGCAAGAATTCAAGCTGTTTCGTTTTTGCTAGCAAATTATAGATTGCACTTTATTGTATGCAATCCGTGTGCATCTCAGTTGCTTAGTTTTTCAGAAATTCAGTTCTACAAGTTATTCGTCACTTGGTGAAACAGATTTTTATCATGTTTATCGTATTTCATACAACGCCCGTAATAGTGGCCGTGTGCCAGATACGGAGATAAGTCGGTTCGTGAAACACTAAATTCCAATTTTTCATGTTGACGCTCCTTTGTGACATCATAGCACCATGGGAATTAACGTGTAAAGTGGCAGTTCTAAACTTTACCACAATGGGCATATCCTTGATGTTATATCCAATAACAACATGGTTTGCCTTAATACCGGAGAAGGAACTAGGATTAACTCATCTCACTGTTCACACTGCATTGATATTACTCTAGCTTCTCCTTGCATAGCCGCCAAATGTGACTGGACAGTACTCGACACCTGGGGAAGCGACCATTGCCCAATTCTCATCGAAGTCAATCATCGCATCTACAAAAGTCCTTCCAATAAACCACCCAGATGGTCACTGAAAAAAGCTGACTGGGAAAATTCGAAGATGAATGCAATCGACTCATCAATAAACTGGATGACTCAGCTAACATCGATGATGTACATAACAATTTCATACATGATCTTGACCTTGCCATGACCAACTCTATTCCTAAAACAGACCCTAATCATCATAAATCGCCTACTTCTTGGTGGAATGAAGACTGTAAAAGAGCCATTGAGGAGAAAAAGGAGGCTTGAAAAAAGTAAGGAAGCCAGGTTTCCGTCCGTATTAACCTACGAACGGGCTTGTGCAATCGCTAAGAAAACCATCAAGACTGCCAAAAGGAACGACTGGGAGAAATTTTGCAGCAACCTTACAACTAAAACTAACACTAAACTCATCTGGAACAAGGTAAAACGGATCGACTCAACCCAGAAGAAAACTAACAGTCCAGTCATCAACAACAATGGTGTCGATGCTATCACAGATAAAGATAATCAGAGGCACTTGTCGACAACTTCGCCAAAATAAGTAGTACTAGTAATTACAACCCCTCCTTCATTAAAGCTACAGTCCATCATTTGTAATTTGTGCATTTTGTTCGTTTGAAGCAACAAAAGAGTTCAAAATCTAATGAAGGATACTGAGCAACTAACCTGATGAAGTTTCAGCTAAGCTTCAGCTGTACATTCCGAGAAAAACAGCATTCTAAGATCTCAATTTCAAATCAAAAGTTACTGAATCATGTTTTGAATTGTTTTGAATTGCAGCTATACGTGACATCGCGCACTGATCAAACGAATTATAACAACCGCGCGCGCGTGTGCATCGTTTCAATACTTGTGCAAGCTGCGCTGAATAACAAACCGAACTACTAATTTAAATTTTCCTACGGTGCTTCTTAAGAATCACCGTTGGAAATGCCTTCTTTCGTTGATTACTTCAAAATGACAGCTTCCCAGAAAGAATAATTACTTCAAAATGACAGCTTCCCAGAAAGAATAATTTCACAGGGAGTTTAGTTCCCTTACTACCTTTCAACCAAGTTTGTTTTTCAACAATAATTACGCCAGTTACTTTCTGATGGCTGCAAATGATGGACTCTAGCTTTAATACTAAACAAGATGCTGAAAATAATATCCAACTTAATAATAGTAATGACAGTGTTATTAATGAGCCTTTTAACATTGATGAGGTAAACCATGCCATCGATGCTTCTAAGTGCACCACCCCTGGTAAAGACGGAATTAGTAATATGGTCATTAAAATCTCCCCATCAAAGTTTGTGAATACCTGCTCATTATATTCAATATGATTTGGCACACTTCCCAATGTCCCATGCAGTGGAAAGAAACTATTCTCATTCCTATCCTCAAACCAGGGAAAGATCCGGCCAACCCTTCATCCCACCGACCTATAGCCCTCACCTCCACCTTATGTAAACTGATGGAACGAATGGTTAATTGCCGTCTTCTCTGGTACATTGAAACAAATGATTTTTTTCAGTCAACGCAGAGTGGTCGGGCAGGCATTTTTTTTTCATAACACATTGAAAAGTTAAGTTATGAATATATTGATGTAAGAACAAAGCATCACAAAATTAAATCCTTTTGATCACAATAATTTATTTTGTTTAAAAATACATCTTTAACGGTGTGATAAATTTCCATAAACATTTCATGTACACATACGAGTTATTTCTGGCTTGATGTCATTATTGAAAAACGGGAAGTGAATACTGATTTAGTTTGGAGTAGATAAATGTTTATTGTGAAGTTAAATAACATATGGAAATATGGAAATATAATCGTATGCATTCATAACATCTAACTTCTGGTTTGATGATGTCACTAGTATTTGGAAGCAAAAGGTTAACATTGTTATGGATATCGTT